GGTTTCAGCTTCTTAGTGCAGTGCTTTAACCCGCTGCGCCACCAGGGAGGGCCACATTTCACCTTTTTTTTTTTAAAAAATATTTATTTATGAATGCAGAACTGGGATACAGGCCAGAGGTGCAGGGCCAGTGAGAGAATTCATCAGAGACAGAGTGGGGAGGAGAACAGGCAGATACAGCACACTGCTGAGGGGAGCAGCAGGCAAGACAGGAAAGGTCTGCTGTGCCTTGTGGGTCACCTCCCTGGCTGGGATCCCACTGAGGCTAACTTCAAAGTGCTTTAACCCATTGCACCACCAGGGAGAGCCAAAGTTAACTCACTTTTTCTTTTTCATAAAAATCCTAGAGACCCAAACTATTTTCAGCTACTACCTACTTTCTTCCTGAGAGTTCCTCTCCCCTTTCCTTCTAACCTCCACTAGGTCTGGCTGTACAGTGGGTTATTGTTTTCTTACATGCTCCTAAAGGAAGCACGTTTCTATTCTCTTTTAAGGATTTTACTGGTAAACATTACTTCTGATCTCAGAAGGACTTTTAAATTAGAGCTACACATCCATTACAGACAGTTTGAAAATAGTCTTTGTAATGAAGACCTGACTTCAGCTGTTAACTGATTAACAGCAGATTTATAGACATACAAACTAGAAGAACAGGTGATACAGCTGACTTTTTTTTTGTTTTTGAAGATTTATTTACTTATGCATACAGAAGTGGGATACAGGCCAGATGTGCAAGGGAGGTGAGGGGATTCAACAGAGACAGAGTTAGGGGAGCAGAATAGGCAGATGATGAAGTACACTGCTGAGAGGAGCAGCGGGCAGTCAGAGGAGGCCTACCATGCCTCCGGGGTGGGGATTGAACTCATGTTGAAGTGGCTTTAGCTTCTTAGTGCTGTGTTTTAACCCACTGCACCACCAGGGAGGGCCCATATTTGACCTTTTTTTTTTTTTTTAAGAATTATTTATTTGTGCATACAGAACTGGGGTACAGGCCAGAGGTGCAGGGGTGGTGAGAGGATTCACCAGAGACAATGGAGAGCAGAAGAGCCAGATCGTCAAAGTACACTGCTGAGGGGAGCAGCGAGCGGGTCAGGAGAGGTCTGCCATACCATATGGATCACCTTTTGGGCAGGCGAAGATCAAACTCATATGGAAGTGGCTTTAGCTCTTTAGTGCTGTGCTTTAACCTGCAGCATCACCAAGGAGAGACCCATAGTTGACCTTTTTTTTATATATATATATATAATAGTTTATTTTTACATATTTTTGTGCATTTTCCCATCTCAGTTGCAATCCCCTGGGGTTTCCCATCACCAGATCACCCATGTGCCATCACCATAGTCTAGTGCATTTCCCTCCTCCCACTGTTTTGATCCCATTCCCCATGCCACCCACACAAAATGTCTCTGGTATATAGCTGTTCATCATTATCATTATTTTTTCACCTGTTCGGTTATATTCCTGCTATGAGAGAAACCATCCGGTATTTTTCCTTTTCTTTCTGGCTTATTTTACTAAGCATGATCTTTTTCAGCTTCAAGTTGACATTTTTTTTAAGGAAATTTGATGTACTTAGCCAGTATTTTCCTTTAGATGAGATATAATCTAGCCAGCCCCTAGTTCATGCAAAACTAGTTTCTTCCATGAATGACATTTGATCTACTACAGCACTTAAGAGAAATGCTTATTGGAAAAATTTAGTACAGGTGATCCAGGATTAAATTATTTTCAAAGTAAGGGTTACCACTTTACCTCTTTGGTCATAGAGTATGTCAGGAATGCTTCTGAGTAACATTTACATCTGAAAGCATAGTCAAAATTTGCTATGTGCACAAGTTGGCAGAACTATAGACAAATAACATTACTTATAAATGACTTTAACTAGGTGCTGTTTTAATATGAAGAATATGAAAGTTTTTACACTGACTTTTTTTCAAAATTTAGTTCTGGTTACATCATAGCAATTTAGTAATATTTGTTGAATTAATGAATTTGTTTGGTAGCCTATAGAGTACAATTATTTTAATGTATCCTCAATTTTCACTATAACTCATTACTTTTAATCTCTGTAGGAAAAGCTGTTATTAGAACCAATGTTTGAAGTTCCTAATTCTGATATTGTATGTGTGGAGGTTGACAAAGAAGTGGTAGAAGGAAAAAAGGAACCAGGTTATATCCGGTAAAGTATATTGTAAAGCTAGAACACGCCTAAAACTTAAGATCAGCCTTTATTGCTTTGTCTTATTAGTCTGTCATCAGATTTGTATAAAAATGCTTATATTTGTAAAGGAAACAATATCTTAATTTTTGTAGAAAAATGTTCAAATTTTGGTACATAAAAAAATAGTATTTTGAGTCTTTTTGAAAACTGATCTTCAAATTTAGCCTCCACTTTTTCTCCTTTAAGAAAGAAGTATCGAAGGAGACATAAACGTAATCCATATGAAAAGATTTAAAGAAAGTACTTATTCTCTAATCATGGCTTTCACCATGAACTTTGTTGACAAAATTTTTTCTCAGTTGTATCATATCAGTCAACATATTTGACACATCTTTCACTGCTTTATTCCAGGGGCAAGCAAATATTCTATTCTTATTGAGGGCTGTATATATAATTTAGGGTCATAGACTCTGTATTGCAGTTACTTAGTGCAGAGCTTATAGTATGAAGGCAATCAGACAGTTCATTAATGAATGAACATGTCTATGTATCAGTAAATCTTTATTTCAAAAATAGGTGGTTGTGCTTTTATTTGACCTGCAGGCTATAGTTTACTGCCCCCTGATCTATTCAACAAATATTTATTTTGCAGTGCTTGACATTAATGTTACCTACCAAAAATTAGGTTTCTGTTTTAACATAGTGACAGATTATGTTGTTTTATGTTTATCTTCTAAGATAACTTAGAAGGCAGTGATTTAATTTTGAATAACTTTTGAAAAGGCATACTTTGTTTTACTGTTTAATAACAATATATGACTTTAAAGGGAACTGTGGTGTTCTGATCATAATTTTGATGAATTTGAGTCAGGTTGGAATTGGTCAGAAACTGTCAACTTCTTTACTATAGACATACTAAATGTGAAGCATTTGAGTTGAAATATTAGATTGTACCTTATTTTCTGAAGAAACTGATTTTTTAAGTCTTCACAACTGAAGACTTGTCTTTTTATTTCAGTGGTAAGTCTATTAGGGAAAATGTTAAGGAAATTACTTGCAACTCTTGAATGTGTAGTCTAAAATTTTCCAATATTTCATCCAAACAATCTTGATATTAAAAGTGCATGGCTTTTCTAACTCTGTGGGTTAATTTATTATTTTTCAGTCTACAAATCATGTTTATCCTTAATTAAACAGAATAAACATGATTGGCTTTCATTACAGAGCTCCAGCGAAAGAATCATCTGAAGAGGAATATGACTCTGGAGTTGAAGAAGAAGGATGGCCTCGCCAAGCAGATGCTGCAAACAGCTAAATTCTCAGACTTCTGTCCTGTATATAAAGCTTTTCCTTCCTTTGTTTAGGATCATAACTGTCTACAGTCTGACATTAAAAGCATTGGATCTATTTTGGATATCATACATGGTCAGAAACCTTTAGGATAAAAATCAGATCATGTATATTATGTAACATCACATTGATTTATACAGAGGACATTATGTGGACTTAATGACACAATGTTAAGAGAAAAATGTACATTATTTTGGTTGTTTTTAAAAAATATGCTTTAACAAAATTCTTAGTTCTTTTAAGCAATGCAGGTATTTGCAATAACTGGATTTTACAATAATGTTACTCTACAAATGGGAAAATAAATTCTCTAAAAATTGAAGTTTGGGAATCTTAAGTTTAACTTTTTTCTACCCATATTTGTTTCCCCAAAACTTGAGAACTTCATTCATCTTAAAAATTGGAACAGGAAGTTTCCAAGTAGTTAAAATTTTCATGGAAAAAGTACCCTGGAGAAATTTTGATGATTTAGTTAGCTGTATTCTTAGCCCTAATGCATGACACTAATTTCCCAATTGGTACTTTCAACAGGCCATTACCTTGCTGACGGTCTGATTTGCCATATCAGTACCACAAATGAGCAGACAGGATTGAAGTATGCCTTGAATCTTCAGGAAAAGTCTGTACATCTAATTCTAAAAGTAGCATGCAACATCAGTCATGTAACAGCCATATGCTGAACTAAATAAAAATCCTATTACTGTGCACTTACCTGAAATACTTAACTAGTTTCGTTTTGTTTGGTGCTGGATATTTCTTTGGCTTCATAGAACATTAAAGTCTGTTTTGCTATCACAGAAATTAATGTGTTCACACTAAAATAAAAGTTTCTAACTGTCATTGTATAACAAACAAATTTGGAGGACAAAAATAAAAATTATTGGATTCTATAAACACTAAAATATTTGGCACTTTTTAAATTATTTTCTTTCCTTCTATAGTGTTGATACCAGCCTATATCATTCATTTAGTTCAGCCTATTTGAAATAGTTTAAATCAGAGTACATTCAGATATTTTTCTTTTTTGGTTTTCAAAATTGAGTTTGCCTCTTATTCCCTTGTTCTTAGGAAAAGAACCTTAAGGTATTAGCAAATTCTAAATCCTATTGATGATGACTTGGACTTTCTATGATGTCATGAGAGAGGTGAGATAGCTTCTGTCTCTGTAAGATGGAGATAGGACCAGAAATGAATTTTTTCAGTGTTTAAGACTGGCTGCTAACAGTATGGAACAAAAACAGGTATTCTTCTTAGTCTCCCTAGTAATGGTTAAAGTTCTTCTCAGAAGGAACTTGTAACTGTTCATTATCTTTTATTGCATCATTTTCCTTTTTGTAGAGTGAAAATTGATGTAACTTCTAAATATATTAAGGGTAATCTTCCAGAAATGGACTGGGAGACATTTTAGTCACGATGACTTAGATTTGGTTTTGGAAGTTGTTAACAAAGCATAATTGATGTTTTTAAATCAAACATAACTGAGTATAACTACAATTTGTATCTTGAAACTTCTTTTGCCATTTGAATAAAACTAAAGGACTGAATGAAAGCCAGTGTGGTATATGTGCATAATGCAGTGCCATTTTTAGAAGGATTCACATGTCACGAGCTACTTTGTTCTAATGATTGGTTAATCCTTGGCACTTTTATATTCCTCTAATAAATTCTGATTGTAGATTCCATAGACAAAAAGTGTTATTAAAGTTTATGTTGAACATTTATTGAAAATCCTTAATTGAATGCCCTGAATGGGTCCTACATATCCCACACAAGGAACACAGACCAAAGTTTTCAAGTATCTTGTTATTTAGTGGTGGGGGCAAACACAAACTTCCGTGCATTATAATTATGGAAATAAGGTAAGTACCTGGTTTGATATCCCAAAAGTTAGCGATCCTAATGGATTTGGGAGAAAAAGTAGGGGTTTACCAGAAAGGAATAATGAGAATTTAAAAATCTCGGAAATGTGACACAGTAGGGAGTTTTAGGAGTTGTAAAATAGGCAATGTGACTTCATATTTTGCTCTAAGATGACCATTTTGATAGACTCTGTTCTCCATCCTACTAAAGACTTTGCTTCTTACTGAAAAGTCATCAGAAGATGAAATTCATCTTCCTATCAAATCTGTTAATCTTCCTGCTTCTGTATCCAACCTTTTTCTCCAGTTACAACTGAAAGGTCTCTCATGGAAACTCAACTTCTCCACATTACAATAAGGTAATCCATCATACCTTTACTTCTCAAGACCTTTAGTTATTTTGTTAGTATCTTTCCCACATTTTTGGTCTCCTCCCTTCTCCCAAATCCCCAGCAGTGTCTTAAGTACTAGTATTACCTGTGCAGTGGCAACCCACCTCAAGCTTACTTTTCATCTACATTGTAAGTTCTACTAGAGCAAAGACCATGTCTTTGTAGCTATAACCAGCGCACAATTACAGTGCTCAATATATTTGGTATTCCATACATTTTAAAGCAATTAACAGAATGTCTTATATGCTGGGCTAAGGTATAATTTTGTGTGGATAGTATTAGACATTAAACAGTGTAAACAGGAGAGCTGGACATCATTAGATGTCTATTGATTTTTGGAAGCTAAGGCGCTGAGGAAAATATAAGGAAGCAAGTCCATGAAAGGATGTTTCTTCAGCACTTGCCCCTCTAGCCATCAATTTCTTCCTGATACCATAATGAGACAATAAGCAAAACCCAATTCCCTTTAACCCACATCCCTTCAGAGCAATATTACATGTTGGTCTTGCTGTTTTCGGTCCCCTTCCAGGGTGTGATTTTGAGGGATAAGAAGCTATTGGAAATTAATTTTAAAAGACTACTTTGATTGCAGTATAAGTGACAGCCTGTGGAGAAGCATGACTGAGTCTCCATCTAGAAAATATATCCAAATCTTACCTAATTTTAAGATGAAAATCAGATGTATTTAGTGTTTTATCCCAACTTCTGTGACTGGCCGCAAGAGAGGAAGGCAGGAGGCAGAAAAGCTGAGCAAGCAGTTTATTGCTCTCAGACAACAGCCCAAGAGTAGGGTCCGCAGCTACTGCCAACTCAATAAGGGGGAAGGGTCTCTTCTATAAATTCTAAACTCAGAATCCAAAGGGGTGACTCATGTTGTGTCCTTGATGTGAGAACCAGTTCGCTGTCACCTTCAGCTAGTCCCATCCAGGATCTCAAGGTCAGTTTATTACCACTTTATCAAGCTTGGATGCAAGGCAAAATTCTTTACCACCCTAATTCAGTCCTTGTCAGTAAATCTTTGGTCACTCCCAACATTTAAATTTTAGGTTACTAAATAAATTCTTAACACAATAGGATACATGTGGTTTCACAGAGTTTCTGAGAAATGGGAGAGTTCCCTTGGGAAGTAGGGCCAGGCTCTGATTACTTCCTCTCATGGTATGGAGTTGGATTATCATTCAAGTAAAAAGTAAAACAGCTTTGAAAAGTAAAAAGCTGGAGTAATTGGACATGGGAGGGGAAAATTTGCAGGGAAATTTTACCTAAGTCTTATACCATACATAAAAAGTAACTAAAAAAATGAGTATCAACATATGAAATCTTTAAAAGCACAGGAAAAAAATTTAGGATGACACTATTTTCTTAGACTTGACTCCTAAAACATGATCCATAAAAGGAAAAACTGGTAAGCTGGACTTGATTAAAATTAAGAACTTTTGCACTTGGCAGAAAACAAAACAATAAAAAGGATAAAAAGACGGCCCTCCCTGGTGGCACAGCGGGTTAAAGCACTGCATTAAGAAGCTTAAGCTACTTCCGAATGAGCTCAATTCCCTCCTGCCCTGGAGGAGATCCACATGGCGTGGCTGGTGTGGCAGACCTCTCCTGACCTGCCCGCTGCTCCCCTCAGCAGTGTACTTCATTGATCTGCCTGTTCTGCTCCCCACCCTGGTGAATCCTCACCCTCTGCATTTCTGGCCTGTACCCCAGTTCTGTATGAATAAATAAATCTTAAAAAAAAAAAAAAGACAAGCTATAAATCAAGGGAAAATATTTGTAAGTCACAAATCAGGCAGTTACCTAGAATATGTAAAGAACTGTCAAATTCCAACAGTGAAAAACCAAACCAATCAGAAAATTGGCAAAATACAAACACAGTTCAACAAAAGGATATACAGACAGCAAATAAACACATGAAAAGATGTTCAACCTAATTAGCCATTACGGAAGTGCAAGTTTAGTGTTCTGTGGTGAAACACTGGGTTCTTTGGTGGTAGGTGTGGTGTGTTAACACCTTAAAGGAGACATCCTCTAAAACAGATTAACCAATGTTACCTTGAAACAAAAATGCAAATTAAAACCACAATGAAAGATTACTACCACCTCTCAGGATGTCGAAAATGAAAAATAGTAAACAAATTGGTGACAAGAATGTAGAGAAATCATATATTCCTAGTGGGAATGTAAAACTATAGTTACTATGAAAAACAATTTAGTAGTTTCTTTTAAACTGAACATGCAACTGCCATATGACTCAGCAGTTGTGCCCCTGGGCATTTGTTTCAGAGAAATGAAGGTTCATGTTCACAGAAAAATCTGCATACAAATGTTTAAAGCAGCTTCATTCATTACAGTACCTGAATGGAAATAACCCAAAAAAACTTTCAACAGGCAAATGATTAAACAAAGAGGGTTACATTCACACTTTTACTACAATAAATTACCCTGTTGATAGCAAGTGATTCACTCCAGTGAATTTCCAGAGGATTATACTGAATAAAAAAGCAAATCCCAAAAAGGCTATGTATTGTATACTTCTGTTATGTAATTAAACGGGCAAAGGTTATAGAAATGGAAAACAGGTTAGTGATTGCCAGAGGTTAAGGAAAGAAGTAGGTAATGTAATATAAGGACAAGTGAGAGATCAGGAAAATGTTCTGTATTTTAACTGCATTAGGAATTTGAAAACATCCTGATGAGATGGTACCACAGTTTTACAAGCTGTACCACTGAGAGAAAATGGACAGAGTACATAGAATCTCCCTGTATTACTTCTTACTCATATGAACGTACAATTATAAAAAAAAAGTTTAATTTTTAAAATCTATTTGTGACATGGCCTCCCCTTCTTGTTTAAACCTTCCATAGTTTACTACTATTCTGAAGATCCTTGTCATGGTGATCTCCGCCCATCTTTGAAGATAACCAGGCTTTGCTTCGAGATTTTTGTGCTCCATCCACACCAGCATTCTTTCAGTGTCCCCACTAGACATACTCCCATCCACTAGACATAGTCCCATCTACTCAGGAAACTTGACAATGCCGGTCCCAAAAGAACTGTCCCCCTTCTTTCTTCTCCTCCGTTTCCATCTAAATCCTACTTATCCTCCAGACCTCAAACGAAACTTCAAATCTTTAGGGCAACTTTCCTCAACCTCTGTGTTTAATGTGTTTTCTGTATTAGATAGGTAGCTCCACGAAGAGAGAAATTATGTTATTTTCACTGAAAGCCAGCAGCTAGTTTCACACTTCTGCTCATTAACAACAGCGTTCATGAATTGAAGGGTTGAATGAACGCTCTACTAGCACTGGGGCTCTTTGAGCTGACGCATCGTACCGGCGTCGCGCATGCTTACGTCACTTCCTCCCGGAAGACGCTCTGGCAGCACCAGATTCCTGTCACTTTTCAGAACCCTTCAGTCGTGGCCATGTCCCTGCCACCCTTCTTCGTCCCGGGCCGCCCGGGCCCGCCACCCCCGCAGCCGCCGCCTCCTGCTCCCTTCGGCTGCCCGCCGCCGCCGCTGCCCTCCCCGGCTTTCCCGCCGCCTCTTCCCCAGAGGCCAGGGCCCTTTCCGGGGGCCTCCGCCCCCTTCCTCCAACCTCCGCTGGCTCTGCAGCCCCGGTCCTCCGCGGAAGCTTCCCGCGCGGGAGGCGGCGGCGGCGGCGGTAGCGGCGCCTTCTATCCGGTGCCGCCGCCGCCACTGCCTCCGCCGCCACCCCAGTGCAGGCCCTTCCTGGGGTCCGACGCCTGCGAGCGCCCGCGGCCGCCTCCTCCAGGTCCGGGGCCGCCCTGGAGTCCGCGCTGGCTTGAAGCGCCCCCGCCGTCCGACGTGCTCGGGGACGCGGCCCTGCAGCGCCTGCGCGACCGGCAGTGGCTAGAGGCGGTGTTCGGAACCCCGCGACGGGTGGGCTGTCCGCTGCCCTCGCGTGCGCCCGCTGGGCCCACTCTGGGTGAAGTGCGTGCGCGGTTGCGCGGGGCTCTGCGCCTGGTGCGGCGGCTGCGCGACCTGAGCCAGGCCCTGCGCGAAGCGGAAGCCGACGGCGCGGCGTGGGCAGTGCTGCATGCCCAGGCCGCGCCGCTGCGCACCGAACTGACCGAGCGACTACAACTGCTGACCCAGGCCGCCTACGTGGGCGAGGCGCGGCGGAGATTGGAGAGGGTCCGGCGCCGCCGGCTGCGCCTTCGAGAGAGGGCCCGGGAACGCGAGGCCGAGCGGGAGGCGGAGGCCGCGCGAGCAGCGGAGCGCGAGCAGGAGATTGACCGCTGGAGGGTCAAGTGCGTGCAGGAGGTGGAGGAGAAAAAGCGGGTAAGAGCAGCCGTTACCCAGGGGTTGAGGGTAGTGGTGTTGGCAACCTGAAGAGACTTGAGGCTTCACGCTGCCATTTCCCATGACTAAGCTTCACTTTCCTCATCTGTAAAGTAGATTATCTTGCCTTAACGATTTCATTAATATGTATATTAATTGCAAATTAATGCTACACAGCGATGCATCACAGATGCTCTAAGTGTAAACACAAATGTCTAAAATTACACTTACATTTTAGAGATTACAGATCTCTCTTTCAGACTTTTTGTCTACTTAAAGTTCAAGACTAACAAGTGTCATAGTTCTTGTGTCTTGTGCTGGTTTAGGACTTTAAGAATAGAAAATAAGAACTTGGGGTCTTGCCTCAAGCAACATAAGCCCCTAATTGGTTGCTGGGGCAGTAGTTATGATTTTGCCAACATTATTTTGCTTATAAGTTATAAACAAATCCCCAGGTTCAACAGTGGCCTCTTTTTTTTTTTTTTAAGATTTATTTTTGTTTATGAATACAGGAACTGGGGTGTATGCCAGAGGTAGGGCAGGGTGGTGGTGAGAGGATTCACCAGAGACAAATGGGGAGCAGAACAGACTGATCACTGAAAGAACACTGCTGAGGGGAGCAGTGGGTGAGACAGGTCTGCTATGTCATGTGGGTCAGCTCCCTGGTGGGGAGAGGGATTTGAACTCATGCTGCAGTGGCTGGTAATCTCTTGATAGCACTGAGACTTTAACCCCTGTGCCACTGGGGAGGCCCAGCACTAGTGTTTTGAGCACTTTTGAGTGTACACACACACACACAAACACACACAAAATGCTAGGTCTTTACCAACACCATGTTTTGAATTCGCCAAACAATCCTGAATGCTAGGTGGTATTGGCCCAGTCTTACCAATTAGGAAACTGAAGCATAGAGAACTAAATTTGCCAGCACACAGCTTGCCTGTGGCAGTTTCCCTCCTGATTGAGACCTGGTTGATGCCCAACCTGTTGATCGCAGGCTTGTCAGTGGGGACCTGGGTGAAAGGAAAGTGGTCAAATAATTGTTTAAGTCAATCTCATGATTCTTTTTGCCCTCTGGGCACTTTTCCTTCTCTCACCACTCCCCACAAGCAGCCAGCTAGTTTCCTCCTTCCTTATATCTGCTGCATCCCTAGAGTCAAATATAATACCCTTATGCAGTGCAATGATAGTAAACTTTGTCTTCACTCCTCCAGGGAGATCAGTCTTTTAAAAAATATTTGGTGAGGCCTTAATCTCAGGGAGTTTGAGTTGATTCAGCAGAGAGTTTATTATATAAAAGTGTGGGGTACTGAGAAAAGCAAATAGGACATAGACCTTGTACTTGAGGTTCTTAGGTTCCTGGAAAATCATGTTAGCACCACAACATGGTGAGGATTTCAATTGTAGGTGCTGTAGAAGCTCAGAGAAGGAAAGTCTAACACCCTGAGAAAAAGTGTCAGGGGCCCTTCTTGGATGATACAGTGATATCTGAATTGAGTGCTGAAGGAAATAGTCAAAGTCAAGGGAAAGTAACAGTGAAGTTCCTGGCATAGGGAGTAATACAGGCAGAAGGGTGACATGGCATGGCGTGATTGCAATGGTGAAATTACAGATACTTTTTTGACAGATGGGAAAGAAAGTTTTAGGTAAGAGGACCCTCCCTATCACCCATGTGAGGGTATTGTAGACAGAGATGCATGCGTGTGGCTTGAGGAACCAGAGTTGTTTAGTCTATGTATTTGTAACCAACTTAAGAGTAGGATAGTGGTCTTCAGCTGTCTTGTGGAAAATATCCTTAGGCCTAAGTCTTTAGAGCAGTGGAGCGCAACTACAGAGTTGTCATTGAACATTGTGGAGTCCAACCCCATTATTTATAGTCTGAATCTTTGGAGTCTGCATTTTAATAAGTAAACCCCAACTTAATAAGGTCTGTTGGATGTATATGTTCCTTTGATCACACTTTGAGAAACTCTGAGAAAGAAGCAGATGAGCACAGTGTGGAAGCTGCAGAAAGGCAAGAGTCTCCTTTAAGATGAGGGTTGTATCATCAGTAAAGGGGCATTACCCCTTGCTTGGACTAGATTTAGAGAGGAGTTGTGTAAAGCTCAGGAAATTGGGCTGTAGATCCAGTAGTTTCTCTCAATGCTAGGACTGTGTGATTGACTGAAATCTCTGCAGGCAGCTATTCTCTGTTGGAACATTTTACATTAGACCTAATACTAAGTCTCATGGACTTTATTCTTCTCTAGGAGCAGGAACTTAAAGCTGCTGCTGATGGTGTCTTATCTGAAGTGAGGAAAAAACAAGCAGATACCAAAAGAATGGTGGATATTCTTCGGGCTTTGGAAAAGTTAAGGAAACTCAGGAAAGAGGCTGCAGCAAGGAAAGGTAACTGTAGCTTTGCATGTCTTCCTCTATCCCCCCCTTCCTTTCTTTACCCTAAAGCCCTTCCCCTCACACTTTTTTTTTATTATAATAGTTTATTTTTACATCATTTTGTGCCTTTTTCCATCTCAGTTGTAATCTCCATGGACTTCCAATTACCAAATCACCTGTATGCCATCACCATAGTCCCATGCACTCCACCCCGCCATCTTTGATCCCATTCCCCATTACACCCCTATAAAATGTTCATCATTATTATTCCTCCCCACCCCCAATCCTTTATGTTCCTGCCATGAGTGAAACCATCTGGTATTTTTCTTCTTTTTTTTTTTTTCTGGCTTATTTCACCAAGCATGATCCCTTCCAGCTCCATCCATATTGCTGCACAAGGCATGAGTTTATCTTTGATTGCTGAGTAATATTCCATTGAGTATATGTACCACATCTTTTGAATCCAGTCATCTACTTTTGGGCACTTGGGTTGATTCCATGTCTTTCTTACTGTAAATAAAGTAGCAGTAGACATGGGGGTGCAGGTGTCTTTTTGAATCAGTGTTTTTGTGTCTTTTGGGTAGATACCTAGGAGTGGGATTGTTGGATCATATGGAAGCTCCATTTTTTTCTAAAGATTTATTTATGCATACAGAACTGGGGTACAGGACAGAGGTGCAGGGGTTAGTGAGAGGATTCACCAAAGTGGGGAGCAGAACAGGCCTACTGACGAAGTACAATGCTGAGGGGAGCAGTGGGCGGGTCAGGAGAGGTTTGCTGTGCTATGTGGGTCACCTCCGGTGCTGGGGATCAAACTTGTGCCGAAGTGGCTTTATCTTCTTAGTGCTGTGTTTACCTGCTGTGCCACCAGGGAGGGCTGGAAGCTCCATTTTTAGCAGTTGAGAAACCACCAAACAGTTTTCCATAGTGGTTGTACTAGTTTGCATTCCACCAGCAGTGCAAGAGAGTTCCTTTTTCTCCACATCCTTGCCAACATTTGTTGTTGCTAGTTGTTTTAAAATATGTCATTCTCACTGGTGTGAGGTGGTATCTCATCATGGTTTTAATTTGCATCTCCCTTATTACAAGTGATGTTGAACATTTTTTTATATGCTTGTTGGCTGTCTGCATTCCCTCTTTGCAGAAGTGTCTTTTTAGCTCTTCTGCCCATTTTTTGATGGGGTTGTTTATTTTTGTTGAGTTTCATCAGTTCTTTGTATACCTTTGTGATCGACCCTTTATCGTTAGTTTTGTGTGAGAAAATTTTTTCCCAATCAGTAGGACTTCTGTTTGTTTTTTGTAATGTCTCTTTTGCTGTACAGAAGCTCTTTAATTTGATGTAGTCCCATCTGTTTATCCTTTTCTTCACTATCATTGCATTGGGTGCTATATCTTTAAAGATGTTACTGCCCCTCACACTTTTTTAAAGGAAAGTGCTTTTGAACTTTTGAAGCAGGAGATCTCAGAACATGTTTAGCCCTTAGTAGCCAAAGTTGAAAAGAGAGGCAAGTGTGGGAACCCACTGTGCTATCTTCCCCTTGACTCATCATTCCTACGGCAGGCATTCCTGGCCATAATTTTCTAAATAAAGTTGTTATAGCTGGTCAATTTTGACCAAGTGGAAGCTGTTCTGTCCTTACCTTGTGCTTCAGAAAGTGTTTGAAACTTGTCATGATTGCTCATATATTTCAGATCTGAAACACTGACATTTGAAATTACTAATGGTTGGATGGCACAGGAAGTGCTGTGCAGAATGTATGGATGTCCCTAGCCTACCTGTATGTCACTTTTGAACTCAAAAATTCTCAGTGTTTTGCCTTTAGAGGAAGTGTCCAGCCATGCTGCTTTTCTAGATGCTCCCCAGTTGTGCTTTTTTTTTTTTTTTAATTGCCTACCTAGATCTTTGCTTTTATCAATCCATTTGTCTGAAAGGCCCTTAGTTCATCCTTCAGAAACAAATGGAGATGCAACATCATCTTCTTTGACCTAGGCTGAGGTGGCCACCTACTTTTTCTCAGACCCTTAATATTAAGTTTTGTGATGTGACCATTGTACTTTCAACTAGCCTCATGTACTAGCTAAGTAATTAGCTTCTTCATGCCAATGTTGTATTTTTTTTAGGATTTATTTTTATTTATACATACAAGAACTGGGTACAGGCCAGAAGTGCAGGTAGAGGGGAAGGTGTGTGTGTGAGAAGAAGAGAGAGAGTGTGGAACCAGAGAGTGTGGAACAGAACAGGTCAATCGACTGAAATACGCTGCTGGGGGGAGCAGCAGACGACACAGGAGAGGTCTGCTGTGCCATGTGGGTCAGCTCCCTGACCCAGGATCAAATTCGCGCTACAATGGCTACCCATAGCTTCACAGTACTGAGATTTAACCCCTTTTGCCACCAGGGAGGTCCCTATATGCTCTCTTCAGCGTGGTTAATTTCAGCTCAAGTATCAAAACCAGATGACTCCATTGTAGGTTTTTTTTTGGATACTTAGGAGTCGGAGAAGAGTTTGCATCTACTGTCTCTACCCATATCTCTTGTCTACTAGAATTTAAATCTGAGCACTATTTAATATTCCCCTATCCCATGGCCTCCCATGAGGTGAGTAGTCATCAAACTTTTCCCAAGTGAATTCAGCAGTAAACATTCTCAATATTATTCTTCCTCACTTCAGAGGAGGAAATTTTAGGAGGTTTTGACTATAAAAATAAGTAGTCTCGGGCCCTTCCTGGTGGTGCAGCAGGTTAAAGCACAGCACTAAGAAGCTAAAGCCACTTCAGCATGAGTTCAATCTCCACCCCGGAGGTGACCCACATGGCGTGGCAGGCCCTTCCTGACCTTCCCGCTGCTCCCTTCAGCAGTATACTTTTGTCAGTCTTTCTGTTCTGCTTCTCACTCTGTCTCTGGTGAATCCTCTCATTCCCCCTGTGCCTCTGGCCTGTACCCCAGTTCTGAATGCATAAATAAATAAATCTTTAAAAAAAAAAAGTAGTCTCTATGGAGTTAACAGACTTGTATGTAAGATGGTTTGGTACCTAGCAATTGGATATATTTGTGCTTAAAAAGAAAACCAGCGACAGTCTAACTTTTTTCTTAAAGATATGTAAGTCTGGCCCTCCCTGGTGGTGCAGTGGGTTAAAGCGCAGCACTGAGAATCGAAAGCCACTTCCACATGAGTTCGATCCCTGCCTACCCTGGAGGTGACCACATGGTGTGGCAGACCTCTCCTGACATGCCTGCTGCTCCCCTCAGCAGTGTACTTCGTCGATCTGCCTGTTCTTTCTGGTGAATCCTCTCACCGCCCCTGTACCTCTGGCCTGTACCCCAGTTCTGTATACACAAAGAAATAAATAAATCTTTAAAAAAAAAAAAGATATATAAGTGCTGCAAATTCTAAGTAGATTGATGCTAAGTCTGGCAGTGAGTCTGCTCCTTAGAAGACAGATTTGGGGATAAGAAAAAGTCATGTCTAAATGCCAATCAAATCTCTTTCTCTAGGAGTCTGTCCTCCGGCCTCTGCAGATGAAACTTTTGAGCATCATCTTACGCGACTGAGAAAACTTATTAAGAAACGTTCTGAATTATATGAAGCTGAAGAGAGGGCCCTCAGAGTTATGTTGGAAGGAGAACAAGAGGAAGAAAGGAAAAGAGAATTAGAAAAGAAACACAGAAAAGAAAAAGAGAAAATTTTACTTCAGAAGCGTGAAATTGAGTCCAAATTATTTGGGGATCCGGGTAAGTTCTGCTGTTATCAGTGAAGAAAATACTAGAGTGAGACATGGTGGGCAACAAGTGATTCTTCAGGATTTGAAATTCTAAACTATGTCATGAAAATGATGGATAAACATGAAACACATCTGATCATATCAAAACATAGGCTCAGTAATCTTAGCTTGAGAAATACATTTTAGATATCAAGCATGATAACATGGTATTGTGCTGCTTTTCTTTTACAGATGAGTTCCCGCTCACTCAGCTCTTACAGCCTTTCCGACAGTATTACCTCCAGGCTGAGCACTCCCTACCTGCACTCATCCAAATAAGGTCAGAGGGGGCTCTTGGTGTTGCCTTTCCCTTAGGTAGTAAGAAGCAGTTGATGAAGTGTTTACACAATTGGGGGTGGGGGGGGGGTTGGGTCTGTTAATTTCTTTTTTTAAAAAATTCCTTAGTGGTTTATAAAAAGTTTCCAAGTTTCATGGATACCATAGACATCTTGCTTAGTTCTTATTAATTCTTGAGAGTAGATGTCCTTGTTTTGATACATGAAGAAACTTAAATTTAGGTTGTGACTTGCCCTCTTGTGTTTCCCATGCTATAACTGTTAGGCTGATTGAAAGCTTGACTTCCTTTTCCTAGCTCTCTCCTGCTGCTAAACTGAACAAGGGTATGTGCCTGAGGAAACTATTTAAGATCCATGTTGACTTGGGAGTTCTTACAGGGCAGAGCCAAGGGAGCCAGGGATGAAGAGTGAGTGTGGTCTTAATCTGCAGCCACTAATGAGTTGGTGTTTTTTTTTTTTTTTTTAACTCTGTGGGTCTCAGTTTCCTTACCTATAAAATGAAAATGGTGAACTAGAATGTGACCTTCAAACCTTAGCAGTGGTACTCAAATGCAGGTTGGTTTTTGGTTTTATTTTAAGAAGATTTATTTTATTTTTGTATACAGAACTGGGGTACAGGCCAGAGGTGCAGGGGTGGTGAGAGGCTTCACCAGAGACAGATAGGGTAGTAGAACAGGCAGAGCAACACAGTACACTGCTGAGGGGAGCAGCGGGTGAGACAGGAGAGGTCTGCTGCGCCATGTGGATCACCTCCAGGGCTGGGGTTTGAACTCACACTGAAGTGGCTGCAGCTAGCTTGAAGTGCTGCATCCTAACCCATTGAGCCTCTAGGGAGGGCCTCAAATGCAGGTTTTTGTGTTTTTGTTTTTTTTTTATGGGTATGTACAACAAATAGAAGGAATGAATGGCTTTTGCAAACATCTTAAAGTCTATTGACAGGAAAATCTTTGCTTTTTCTAGAAACCCTCCTACCACCACTCACCCCCTAACCCCCACCTCTACTCTCCAAATCTACTTGGGATCTAGTAGGGATTCTTGAAAACTTGCTTTAAAATTCACTGAACCTAATGATCTCTGAGTTCTTTCCAAAGCTCTGACAGTGCTCTTTAGCATACCAGTTTTACACTCTGGGGAAAGTATGTTTCTGGCTAGTGTACAATTTTAGTCAGTTATCATTGTTTGTTGTAGATATGTTCACTGAAATTGCAGACACTGAATTAGAGCCTCCTGAACTGCTACCAATGATTCTCCTCTTATTCTATGTCAATCAGGAACATGCCTGTCATAAGTGACTAAAAAACATCACTAGCAGTGATTTGGGGACTACAAATAAATTTTAATGCATAAGCAAATTTGTAGATACACAGTCTACAATAGGATTGACTATTTATTATCTGATTATCTATAAGATTATAATCCCTCCTTGAAATGTATTTAATTAACATCAGTTATTTGAAAGCTAAGTTTTGAAATAGAATCCTTAGTTGCTGAACATCTTGCTTGGAATAAAACAGGAATAAACAATTGTTCTACAATGTTCTTATTAAGGCATGATTGGGATCAGTACCTGGTGCCATCTGATCATCCCAAAGGCAACTCTGTTCCCCAAGGATGGGTCCTTCCCCCGCTCCCCAGCAACGACATCTGGGCAACTGCCATTAAGCTGCATTAGTAAAGATGCTCCTGGGAGTGTGTTCCAGCCAAGACTCTCCAGCTCTCTAGTGATGCTGCCATCATGTGCCGTAGACTAAACTGCGACCTCTGAACTCCATGTGGCATTGTCCTTCCTAGAAGTTATGTTTGCCTTCAGTGTTCTGTTCTGCCCAGAGGTGCCTCTTGAATCAGGAGATTAATGTGGTTCTTCAGGAAAGGACCTAGGTGAACTCAGGTTATTACCACAGACAGTGGCCTTGGTTCACCGAATTTGCCTCATTTTTGAGGGGCTTGGTCCAGAGTGACTTGTTAATTTACTCTTGCCTTCCTTGTGTGGTTATGGGTAAGTATACTGAATATACTCTTCACACTCAACACAGGGTGCATATGGGGTAAATTTAGCATCTTTCCCCCAAGGAGTGATGGTTAAGGAAGCTTACCCTTCCTACCTAAAGAACTGCTTAACTTCCAGGAAGAAAAGTCAAAAATGCTTTATCTGTCTTTTGGTGCAACTTGAGAGACTGTAGGCTGGTTTGTCAGAAAAGCTGGGATCCTAGTGTGGTGCTCATATGGAGAATTTTGAAGCCTGAAAGAGTACTCGTACCCAGGAGACTGTATTTGGTGGAGGATGGCTGCATTTCCTCATGTTAACAGGATGCTAATGAAAGCACCTATATTTAAAGTTCCTAAAGATCTAGTTCAAGATCCCCAAGGCTAGAAATTTGTATCCTTATGGGAGTGGGATATAACTTCATTCACATCACAATATGTGAGGCTGGTATTATAGCCCCAGATATATCGTGTAATGTTCTTTGGAACTCAACTTCCAAAAGCATCCTTAAAGTTGGGAAGAAGCAGATAAAAATCATAAAATTTATTTTTTATATTCATTAATAAATGCTGTTGTGCCTGGAGAAGATCTGTTATTTAACATTGATTTGTTTTGTTTTGCTTTTTGTCATTTATTGTGTTATTTATGTTCCCAAAGAGCTAAATAAATGTCACTTTTATTTTTTAGTTTGAGCCTTTGCTCCTATTTTGTTGCCTCCCAAATCACTATGCATACTTTCACATTGATAAAACACATTTCACTCCAAAATTCAAATTTATTTAATAGGCATTTGGTACAGGAAGGCAAATCTCAAGTGTTAAACTTTGCTTGCATAATTCAACTCAGGATAGACAGGACAGGATACCATCAACTTTGGAAATGATTTGATATAGTTGGAAGCTCCTGGGTACAAGTTACTAACAATATATCCCTTTTTTACCTTAATCTGCACTGTTAAGTTTACATACTACTCATAAGGAGATAACAGGCTTTGAGGGCTAGCACTTCTCTAGTGTATATCTAAGCTCATAAATCTTAAAACTGATGTGTTAAAGCCTCATGTAAATACAGTTCTGTGTGCCCATTTGTTATAAATCTGCTCTTTGCTCTGGTGTATTATAGCTAGCGATAAAAGGTGAATTATATAATGTACATTTAGTATCTAGAGAGCATTGCCACTAAGATGTCTGACTTGGAATTTTGATGGGAGCAGAGAGTATGAAGCAGGCACTGGTGAAAACTGGCAACAGACCCCAATGAAGAAGGCAGTTAACCCCAAGTAGAAAAATACTTCCATTTGGTTTTGGCAAGATTTTTAAGGTGAGTATTAATTTGGTCCAGTTTTTGTTTTGTGGGGTTTTTTTTAGGTAGTGGTGGTAGTAGCAGCCACTGATACTTTATGGGTTTAGAAAGACTAGAATATAAACAACGTCATTATCTTATCCCACAACCTTTTTTTAGTTTATTGTGGAAATTTTCAAACATTCAGACAATAGAATAAAGAGTTATCCTGTTATATCCACCATAATTCATGATAAACCTTGTTTTACTTATACCTTCACCACTCAGTCATTTTGAAGTAAATCCCAGACATAAAGTTTCTTGTTGGAGATCAGCTCCAACTTTTGAGGTGTCTGGAGGCAGGACAGGCAGGACCCTAAGATGGGAAGGCGTCGGCGTGCGGAGATTCCAGGAGAGGGGAGAGGACGCGAGGAAGACACAGGAGTCAGGATTGGGTGCAAGTCTTCCTGCTCATCTTTTTGCAGGTCTTTATTTATACTGTTTAGCAAGATTTAGTTACAATAATGCCTTAGGTAAGTTAATAAGAAACCGACATAAAAGTTTCAAAGGAAGAGGGGAACAATGCATCTTCTTCCTTCTACTTTATGGCACACTATACTATACATCTTTGTGATAACTTTCATGTATACGGATGTTTAACTATGACTTTAAAGGATCAGGGACTGGGAAAGGATGAGCTGTTAGCAAAGGATTTAAGAGTCCTAGGGAAGGAATAAATTGTGTTAGCATAGTCATCAGTGATAGCCTAAAGAGAAGCTAATGGCTAATTTAAGGTTAGCAAGGAGTAGCTAGTGTTTGTTTAGGAAGAGGTTAAATAAGATTAGCAGAGAGTAGTTAGTGATAGTTTTAGGAAAAGAGTAAATTAAAAAGTTACGTAGTTGTGCATTAAGCAAAACCTGTGTTGATAATGTTAGGAAATTGTCCATGGGTCCTTATGCCCTGAGAGTTATCTTAAGAATCGCTTTTTGTCAAAAGACCAAAGAAGTTTTTCAGGAGTCTTGATGCTCTGGGGTCTTATCTCTCCAGGAGCTAACCTTTTGTCTTCAGTCAAAGGAATTTCCTGCCCAGGAGCAGCTCAGCTTGTACTTTGCCCAGGCCAGGTAGCCAATTTAAAGCTAAGGCAAGCCAGTTACAAACTGATGTTGCTACAATATTTTTTGATAATATGATTATACAAAAAAGGGAGGTCATAACATAAGTTAGCAGTGGAAATTCTGATATTTCAGAGCTTTTCCTGAGCTATCCGGAATCTGTCAGACGATAGCCGTTGCATAGCTTGTGTCAGTTTCTTAATAAGCATATTAGTATATAACAATTTTTAAACATTTAACCAGTATCATCATGTTTAAAGAAATTAACAACTTAATAGCAAATATCCAGAGTTCAGATTTCTTTATCTCATAAAATTGTGTTTTATACTTAGTTCAAAGCAAGATGTAGGTACACATGTTGCTACTAGTTAGCATGTCTTAAATTTCCAATTCCTATGTACTCTTATACTCTCACTCTTTCCCTTGCATTTTATTATTTGGAGAAATTAACCATTTTTCCTGAAGAGTTCCCAGTCTGGATTTGGTAATTGCATTCTTATGATAGTATATTCCTTTCTTCCTGTATTTCCTGTAGTTTAGTGGCTTGAGCTGTACTGTCCAATATGGCTGCCATATATAGCTATTGGGTAGTTGAAATTCAGAGTTTGAATTGAAACTGAGTTTGAATTGAGATGTGCAGTTACATATGTGGTTCAAATTGGACAGTGCTGATCAAAAGGCACTGGGGGACCTTCTCTGGTGGCGCAGCGGGTTAAAGCATAACACTAATAAGCTAAAGCCACCTCCATATGAGTTCAATCCCCGCCTGCCCAGGTAGTGATTCACATGGCGCGGCAGACCTCTCCTGACCCAACCGCTGCTCCCCCCAGCAGTGTACTTTGATGATCTGCCTGGTCTGCTCCCCACTCTGTCTCTGGTGAATCCTCTCACCATCCCTGCACCTCTGGCCTGTACCCCAGTTCTATATGCATAAATAAATAAATAAATCTTAAAAAAAAAAAAGGCACTGGTCACATTTAGGTTAGAATTCTCTGATAAGAATATTTCATAGGTATACTCCATTCAAAAGGAGGTCTAGTTGTCTCCCCATGATTTTAGCAGCCAGTGATAATCAATACTTACATTTACTCATGTGGGATTGCAAATAGTGGAAGTTGAATTTTGCCATTTTTTAATTATTACCTGGAATATTTGTAAAAAGTAAACCTACCCCCTCAGCTACATGGTTACCCTGAAGTAGTGTGTAGAGGAACAAGAGATAAAAAAAGGAATGTTTATTTCAAAATAATGAGCTGGTTCCCTAACATCTTCCAAAGGAAATTTTGTTTTTCAAGTATCATTATGAACGTCAACCTAGACATGGTTGCTTGTCTTGCAGCTCATTTTTATTTCCTCTCTTGATTGACTCACCTTTGACCAATAATGCCTGCTTTTTTTTTTTATAAAGATTTATTTATTTATTCATATGGAACTGGGGTACAGGCCAGAGATGTGTGGAGGGTGAGAGGATTCATCAGAGACAGAGAGGGGAGCAGAACAGGCAGGTCTATGAAGTACACTGCTGAGGGGAGCAGAGGTGGGTCAGGAGAGGTCTGCCACGTCATGTGGATCTCCTCCAGGGCAGGTGGGAATCGAACTTATGCGGAAGTGGCTTTAGCTTCTTAGTGCTGTGCTTTAATCTGCTGCGCCACCAGGGAGGGCCCGATGTCTGCTTCTTAGTCCCTGAGTTTCCACTCAGTCCCAGTATCCTGTCCAAGTTTATCTTGTACATTTCCCGCCCCAGACATGGAATAGGTAATATCTGCAGCAAGCCCTGACTCTTCTCAGTGGAAAAAGGTACTTGTAAGTTACAATCTGTGATAGGGGTATTAATTGTTCTTAATTATTAGTTCTTATTTTCAGTCAGAGCTTGGAGCTATAGTTCTATAGTTCTGTGGCTGTAGATATGTTAAGCCTTTAGCCATTTTCTAAAACATCTTTTTTACACCTTTACCTCAATTTCTATATAGTGAAGATGGATTAGTAGAAACAGAAAAATAAACTCATTTAAAGATTCACTAGAATATCACCCCATTATGCACAAGAGTTGTTTATATTTCCCAGTAAAAGAGACCTTGGACTTTGAAAAACTAACAAAAACATTTGTTTTTTAGAAATCAGCCAAATGTGTAAAAGGTTGAAATTTATGAAATAAAGAGTTTAGTACAGGTTAGATACTAACAAAAACATTTGTTTTTAAGAAATCAGCCAAATGTGTAAAAGGTTGAAATTTATGAAATAGAGTTTAGTACATGTTAAATACTAAGTATTTAGCCCAAGTGGCTGAATTTATAATGTCAAAGAATTTGCTGCTCCAAGCCAACCAAGGTAATCACGATAATCTGAAGCCATTCATGTTCCTAAATCCATGTGATGCTAGTATAAAGACCTACCAAGAAGCTTAGCTGGGATATACCATCTGTTGTAGCAATTCATTTCTATATATTTCATCCATAGAGAAACCATCTTGGGAATTACAAGGTAAGTTAACAAAGTATATCTTGTTCTATTCAAATAAGTATATAATTAACATAGAGGGAATGCTAGGGAGAATTAGCAGTAATGCGCCGTTGTAATTGAGTTAAGTGCTAAGAGTTACAAAGAAAAAATGGTTAGTAATGAATTTACAATTTTCATTGTTCATAAATTAAGTTCAGAAAAATGGCCAAGTGTAGAGGCTACTGCGAATCCTTAAATCAATCAGAAACATGCTGGGTGGTTTAAAGGAAAGGTAGATTTCTATGAGATTGATTAGGCTTTTTTCTTCCCCTAAAACTGGGGGTTCTATAGTACATTTAGGTAATAGAAAATATACATGTAAATAGTAAGGGCAAGAATTATTGTTCATTAAACGCACACACACATATATATATATATACCTGCTATATATACATGCTAGAAATGTATTAGCTACTAGGCTAAGTGGACACATACCCAAATTTGAGGTTCAGGAAAAGCATTTATTTTAAGGAAATGTTTCAGCTGATTCTAACGAATTAACAGCTATTACCTAGTTGTAGCAGAGAGACAAGGAAGAAGAAGAACATAGCCAAGTATGTGCAATTGCATATGCAAAGGCCCTGTGTTGGTCCAATAAAACTAGGCAAATGAAGTCCAGCATAACTGGGTAAATTACAAGGGTAGCAGAAGCCAGACATTGCATAGCTTTGGATACCATTGTCAAAGAGTTTGGATTTCATTCTGAGAGCACCTGAGATCCATTGAAGACTTGCTTTTTTTTTTTAAATTAAATATATTTATATATTTTACATCATGTTCATTTTTGTATAGTGTTTGCTTTTTCCCCATTGGAAACTTGTCAGCAGGGAATGGCTTAGTTTGCTGTTTTGAAATGTTCATTTTTGTTGCAGTTAATCCAGCATCGGAGGATGCATGGGCACCAGTTGTTCAAGTGAGAATAGTGTGAGCAAGGACTCCCAAGAGGGCAATAGAGGTAGATTAAATGGCTGGATTCCAAAAATCTAAAAAAGAAAACTTGGCAGGGGACCTCAGAAGAGTGAGGGGGAAGGAGAGGAAAGTACCAGAGATGAACTCCAAACTTGTGTACCTTCGACATTCTTTGAAGACAAGAAAATGGGAAGGAGGAACAGTTTGGGGAAGAGGAAAATCAAGAATTTACTTTGGGTATGTTGAACGTGAGGCATGCTTTAGACATTTTGGAGGAGTTGCCTTGTGGGCAGTTGTGTTTATGAGTTTTGTCTCAGAAGAGAATTAAGAATTTAATGTGTGAGTCATTGGCACATAGATAACTGGCTATTATAATACAGTGGAGAACTTAAAGAAAAATATACTAATGTCACTGTTCAGGTTCCCCTAGACAAATCCCTCCCTCACTCCTTTTGGTCCCACATCTGCCCCCAAGGACTCAGATGCAGCCAAGTGGGCAGACCCAGGAACTGGTATTGGAGAGATCCTGGATGGTGCAGTTTGCTAAAGCGTGACCAGGCCGCTTTCCTTCTATCTCCACCCACACCCCCCCAACTCACTGCTTGAGGCCCCTTCAAGAGTTTCTCCATTACTCACTATATGGAGTCAGTACTTAGACTGAAGTTCAAGGCTCTCCCTAGCTCTGTGCCTTTGATCTATTGTAGACTGCTTCCCAGCACCAACTATTAAGCAACTTGGTTCCCTTTCACTCTGTCCTGACTTACTCCCTTGCTCAAGCTGTTCTATCCCTGGAATCATGTTCTTCAACCCATGTTTCCCCCACTCACAGGCTGTTTTCCCACACTCTGGGGTCCAGATTAAGTTCCATCATTCTGAAATTCCCCCAACCCCCATAAAGACTAGATCACTCTTCTTCCAAGAATTTCATCACTTAATGATCAACACCTTTAATTTTATACATAGCAGAGGGGACCATTATTTTAAAATATGTAGATCATGTGCTATATGTGTGTTGCTATTCTTAAGAGATGTGTTTCCAGAGTCTTTAAACTCAAATTACTCCAGAATCAAGTATAGAACTGAATAAATTCTTAAATTACTCCAGTAGCAAGTTTAGAACTGAATTAGAGAATATCTATTTAGATACAGACACAGTATCAGAGGTGAGGAAGGAACAGGGTTTCCCCAGATTGAACAGGCAGTTCACACGTGGATCTCAACAGTTAACTGGCCATTCCCCATAGCTCAAAATATGATAACTGAAAATGTGAATGTTAAATTTGAATGTGAAAATACAAACTTTCCTTTGTACTTCAAAGTTTCCCTGAATGAATGGCTGATGGGACAGATAACTTACTGAACCCCCTGAAACCCTTCTGATCCCATACATAGCTTAAAGAGCCAATGTGCTGGGACACTGTCTCCAGACCAAGAGGTATGGGGAAGGGGGAGGAGAAGCCTTTTAAGTTTCTCATACATCAAGACACTGACAAGAGTGGACATAGATGGATGGAGATGAGGGAATTACAGGATTTATCTGTCTGCCCTCATTTGATCTCTGCACTCAGATTACCCACTTTACCTCTCTGTGTGATGATGGGGTACCCCTGTACCTCTACAGAGGGATTGTGCACTGTTCTGATAGGGAAGGATGGCAGATTGTACTGGCCATAGCCATCCCCTGATGCAGGTTCCCTGGTAAGCCCTGATTACAAAAGCCTGAGAAACTATGTGTGAAAGATATTTTAATTTGATTTCAGCTTTCATAGATACTATTGACCAATATTAGGAGACTCTAAAAAATTGCTACCAGAGTTCCAGATATTCCTCATCCTCATCTTCTTCAATACTTGATATTGTCAGCTTTAAAAAAAAGAAAAAAGCTTAAAGACTTGGGTGTGTGTCTTGATAGCTCATTGTCTTATTTGGTTTCCTGATGATTAATGAGGTTAAGTAACTTATCACAGATTTATTGGCTATTTGGATATTGTGATTTCGAAGTACCAGTTAAAATCTCTTGCCTATATATTTTTTAAAAGATTTATGTGTGCATACAGAATTGGGGTTCAGACCAGAGAGGTGCAGGGGCGGTGAGAGGATTCACCAGAGACAGAGTAGGAAGCAGAACAGGCCGACTGACTGAAATACACTGCTGAGGGGAGCAGCGGGCGGGTCAGGAGAAGTCTGCCATACCATGTGGGTCACCTCCAGGGCAGGCAGGGATCGAACTCATGCTGAAGTGGCTTTCGCTTCTTAGTGCTGTGCTTTAACCCACTGCACCACCAGGGAGGGCCCTGTTGCCTACTTTTATAGTTAGTCTTTTTCTTAATGATTTGTAGAAGTTCTCTGTGGATATTGAATATCAGTCAGATATATGTACAGCAAATACCTTCTCCCACTCTGTGGTTTGTGTTTTTTTCCCATGTCAATGGTGTCTTCTGATGAAGAGCAGTGAGGTCGTCTGAAGCCTGAGCCTTTTCTTCAGGACTACATTCTTTCCTGGCCAGCAAGCAGCCTGCCCCAGCTCTACTCCTGTTACTCCACATTGCTCTGACAGAATGAATGCCCTCACTGGTGTCCCTTTTAAGGTGCCCAAAGGCTTTCTGATAGGTACAGAGTCCTTTGCTGGACCAGAGCTCAGTGTCCCAGCCTGTAGGGAGCTCCTGCTGAGTTCTATGGTAAGTCTTTCTTTTTCTTTTTAGATAATTAGCTTTTTAAAAAAGATTATTTATGCATACAGAACTGGGGTACAGACCAGAGGTACAGGGGGTGAGAGGATTCACCAGAGACAGAGTGGGGAGCAGAACAGGCAGATGTACTGAAAAATGCCGCTGAGGGGTGCAGTAGGCTGGTCAGCAGAGTTCCACATCATGTGGGTCAGCTCCCTGGCTGGGGATCCAACTCCTGCTGCTGTGGCTCTGATAGCTTCGTAGTCCTGTGCTTTGACCTGTTGCGCCACCAGGAAGGGCCCCTGTCTGTCTTTCTATTTCCTCATGTCTGGCTGTTGCTGTGAGGCTGAACCTCATGGGAGCTTTTCCCTTGATTTTAATGGGCAACCATTCCTGCTCTGATATCTCCTAAGGAGTTTGGAAAACAGCCCAAGAGAGAAAGTGTTTCATGAAGAAGGTTGGTGGCTAGGTGATGGGGGTATTTAGTGGGTCTCATTTTCAATTTAGAATAACTGGAAGGCTGCCTGTTTGAAGTGACTGAGTCATTGCAAGGATTCGCCAATTCCTCTCTGTATTTCATATCACCCTATTGACATGTCTAAAATTCTGCTAGTAGGATCACTAAGAGACTATGTCCAGCACCTCTCTTAAAATACAGACATGGAGGCTCTCCCTGATGGCACAACAGATTAAAGCACTGCATTATGAAGCTCTCTGAAGCCACTGCAGCACAAGATTGATCCCCCACCAAGGAGCTGACCTACATGGTGCAGCAGACCTCTCCTGACTTGCCCGCTACTCCTCTCAGCAGTGTATTTCAGTCCACCTGCCTGTTCTGCTCCCCACTCTGTCTCTGGTGAATCCTCTCACCCACCACACCTCTGGCATGTACCCAGTTCTGTATACATAAATAAATAAATAAATAAACATTTTTTAAAAATACAGACATGGGACAGGTTAGAGGAGATTACTATTCCACAGACCATAGTACATCTGCCCTGGAGGTATTTTTGAAGCATCTCCATGCTTCATGGCTCTCCCACTGCAATTTGCATACAGGGTATGTGGTAATATTAAATACACTCTGGATAAATATAATTATTTAAATTCCAGGGGAGTCAGGTTTACCTGACCATTTAGAAGGAACACTTTTGAGCTTCCCTATTGATGCAGGGTTTAAAATCTCAGTACCATCAAGCTTTCACCAGCCACTGTAGTATGTATGCAATCCATGGCCTGGGAGGTGACCCATGTGCACAGCAGGCCTCTCCTTTTTCACCCACTGCTCCCCTCAGCAGTATATTCTAGTAGTTCCACTTGTGCTGCTCCCCACTCTGTCTCTGATGAATCCCCTCACCCCTGCACCTCAAGCCTACAGCAGTTCGAAGGAACAGTTTTTGAGGCCTGCCTGGTGGCCTAGGGGTTAAGTCTCAGTGCTATGCCTGCTAAGGCCTGAATTCCATCCCCAGCCAAGAAGCTAATCCACATATAGCGCAACAGAGCTCTCCTGTCTTGGCCACTGCTCCCTTTAGCAGTGTTTCAGTACATCTGCCTGTCTTGCTCCCCACTCTGTCTCTGGTGAATCCTCTCACCCTCACATCTCTGGCCTACACCCCAGCTCTTGTATACATAAATAAATAATATAAATCTCTAAAAGGAAAAACAGGGGACAAAATGAGAGCTTATTGAGCCCTGCTATGTATTGGATGTGTTCTGGATGTTTTATATATGATTCCTTTCTCTCATTTTTATGACCCTTTTAGCAGTGTATATTTCTACCCTCTCGCACAGGAAACCAAAGCTTCCATACAAATCATCCATAGTAACTTGTGAATGATAAGCCAGGATTTTTTTTTTTGAAGATTTATTTATTTGAACATATAAGAAGTGGGGTATAGGCCCTCCCTGATGGTGCAGTGGGTTAAAGCACAGAACTGCAAGCTAGCCATAGCTGCTTCAGTGTGAGTTCGATCCCTGGCCCCGGAGTTGATCCACATGGTGCAGCAGACCTCTCCGGTCTCACCCACTGCTCCCTTCAGCAGTATACTTTGTCGACCTGCTTACTCTGCTCCCCATTTTGTCTCTGATGAATCCTCTTACCACCCCTGTACCTCTGGCCTGTACCCCATCTCTCTGTATGCATAAATAAATAAATCTTTAAAAAAAAAAAAAAGAACTGGCGTATAGGCCAGAGATGTGGGGATGAGAGAATTCACTAGAGACAGAGTGGGGAGCAGAACAGGTGGATTGATTGAAATGTACTGCTGAGGGGAGCAGTGGGCAAGACAGGAGAGGTCTGCTGTCCTGTGGGTAAGCTCCCTTCTGGGGATAGAACTCATGCCACAGTGACTGGTGATAGTTTAATAGCACTGAGACTTTACCCCTGTCCCACCAGGGAGTCCGACAAGCCAGGATTCTAATGTGAGTCCAACACAACTGCCAAGTCCCGAAGCCTGTGTCTTCCCGGTCTGCTCTACTGCCTTTCCAAGGGGCCATTCCTTCCAGACTTAAAGCCTCAGAAGTCTCGGTGTTGTTGTTTCTGTTTCCTTTAAATTAATTTCTCCCTCTTCATTTAATTTTTTAAAGAGAAAAAATATAATCACACTTTTTTGTTGTTGTTGTTAAAGATCTGGAGTGGAGGTTGACAAACCTCCAGAAGGGCCAGACAGTAAAAATGCTGGCAATTACTCAACTCTGCTGTTGGAGAAAGAACTGTAGAGATTACAGAAAAGAATGGATGAGTAAGGCTATGATCCCATAACATTTATTTACAAAAATAAGGTGGGGATCAATTTGGCCCTTAGGTAATTTGCTACCTGAGGAAGAGTAAAGACCTCCCATTGACACCTTCTTGTCTACCC